ACACACCCCCCCCCCCCCCCCCCCCCGGCTATATACTAAACAAGAATCTAGACTAATAGGTGAAACATGAAAATTTTAAGGTAAGCTTCAGAGGGGTAGCCAAGTTAGTCTTTAAGGTGCTACTAGACTATTCGTTGTTTTTTCTTAAGTTTTTCCTGTTACCGACTAACAAAACATGTAGCTGGCATCATGAGCTTTTGAGGGCAAAGCCCACTTCTTCAGATGACTGGTTTTGCCCACAGAAGCTACATGTTTTGTTAGTCTTTGAGGTGCTACTAGACTATCTGTTGGTTTTTAAGTTTTCCATTTTAAGGTAAGTTCATCTCTAACTTTGCCATAACTGGAAAAGTAGAGTCCGGATTATCTGACCTTCGGTAATCCGACATTCCACTTTATCCGACCTTACAGCTCCTGGGGACAAAGCGGCACTGGCAGGAGCGGCATCAGTGGCTCCAGGGCGTGGGCTGGGAGAACAGCCCTGCTCGCTGATCCATCACTCTCCTGGAGCTGCTGATGCCGCTCCTGCCAGTGCCATTTCGTACCCGGGAGTTGCAGGTCAGATAAAGTGTGGGCCGGGAGAATGGCCCCACTCGCTGCCCTGTTGCTCTCCTGGAACCACTGATGCCTGCAGCTCCCAGGGACGAAGCGGCGCCGGCAGAAGCCCAGGAGAGTGACGGGGCAGCAAGCGGGGCCATTCCCCCGGCCTGCGCCCAGGAGCTGCAGGGAGGGAAGGGGCCAGGGCCAGGCAGGGATGGGGACCAAGCGGCGCCGGCTACAGTAGAGTCCCTATCATCCTACATTTTCAGTAATCCGGCCACCTGTCGGTCCCGTTTAGGTTGATTAATCGGGACTCTACTGTAGTAATTATTTAACCAAGTCTAGTCATCAGCTAGATGTAGCTGGGAAATAAATCTTCGGCTCTATGTATTTCCTGGTTGATTGTAGGAAACAATAGAATTCTCTGTAAGTTATGAAGAAATGTTTTTGTTCATGGGTGATCATTTTTCACATACAATGGCCTGCCACCAAAAGAAGCTTTACACTTTGAATCATATGAATTCCATTCACCAGGGACTGAAATATTTTTTTAAAAATCTTCAGGTTCCAGGGATACATGCCACAAGGTTTAACTAGACCACCAGTTTGAGCTGCATGAATGTTTATGCAAATACAGTCAACATTAAAATGTTTTTATTGCCAAGTCGTCTCAGGATATGTGAAAAATTAGCACTTCAGTTTTTGATTGTTTGTATACAGGCAGTCCCCGAGTTACGCGGATCCGACTTATGTCGGATCCGCAGTTACGAACGGGGCCTTTCCTCTCCCTGGTCTCCAGGCAAAGCCGCGGAGCCCGAGGGCAGCAGGATAGCCACGGCGCATCTGGGCTGTCCCGCTGCCCGCGTGTTCCGCCGCTTTGCTCCCCGTCCCCCTGGTCTGCAGACCAGGGAGACGGGGAGCAAAGCAGAGCAAAGCCGCGGAGCCCAAGGGCAGCAGGACAGCCACGGTGCGTCTGGGCTGCCCCGGTGCTCCGCGGCTTTGCTCCGGACGCCTGTGGTACAGCAGCTGGGGCGCTGCCGGTTGGTCCCGTAGCGCCACTCTGGGTGCCACTGGACCAACCCAGCAGCACCCCAGCTGCTCTGCCCCAGGTGTCCCCTAGTCAGCAGCTGCTGAAACTGACCAGT